AAGATGGTCATTTTTTAAAGAGAAACAAAAACAGCAAGATAGAAATTTGATTCTGGAGTCAAGACTTATTCATCCACTGCTTTGGGAAGGAGTAGACTTTTTAACTGGCCTGCCATTCTCCATTCTCCATTTTATTTTAAGAGACACAGCACAGAATTGGTTGTAAAACTGTCAGTGTACAGTTCAATAAAAAAATAATGCAGTTAGATGATCTAAAGAAAGACTAAAATAAAAATGGTTAACATTATTATTATATCAATTTATATTAGTGTGGATATGTAATAACTTTCCATCTTACACACTCCAAGTAAGAGTCAGAATTGGGTTTTGACTGAAAGACACTTTGGCGATATGTTCTATAACTGGATATACACATAACTTATGTCTCCAAAGTGCTATGCCTTCTTTTAAACTAAAGTCCCATTTAAGAGATGAAAAAAATGAAGGTCTGATTATTGTCATAAAATTAATAAGTAATCACTGATACAAACTAAAATCATATCTGTCTTCCTTCAAAATTCAAAGTCTTTCATTAAGGTCACTTTCTTCTTTATTCTTTATTCCTTTATTAAAAAAAATCAAACCAAAAAAATAAAAAAGAAGCAACTATCTGGATTAAGGTTGTATAGAACAAGTACTTAAGAGACACAATAATATTATTCATTTATTTTCAGCTCTGTTAGTCATTAATGCAAGAAAAATATCCTGTCAAAATTGCATATTTTTATAAATTGCTCAATTACTATAATGTTTTGGGATAGATAATATTCAGTAAATCTTTTTTCTTTCCATATTTTTATTGGTTCATCATAGTTGTACATAATTATGGGCTTTGTTGTTACACATTAGTATATGTGTTGAGCTCCAACACAAAGAAAAGAACACCAACTCCAATTTTAAATCAAATAATAGCAAGCTTGTATTTGTGTATACAAAGAGCTGATCAGCAGTTATCTCTCAAGAGGGGTTAGTGATCAGCATCCTAGCTTTCCAGGACAGAGGCTTTATAGTGCAAAAAGTTACAAAGCGGGTGTTTTGAGAACTTACAGCTAACAGGATTTTGACAAGCATAATATAAAATCAGATAGTAGGTTAATGATCTACATGGCTCAACATTTCAAGTTGGGGAATAAATTCAGATCCCAACACCAGAATTTATGAGGCACTGCTGGGGTTTCAGTGATGATTGTTATCTGGCCCGGGAAAGCCAGGCATGAATGAGTTCAAGGCACTAGCAGACTTTCCAAGCAAGTTTAAAACATCAAAATATGGCCAGGCCAAGTAGTAATCCTAGCATTTTATAGAAAACAGAAATGAGCTTTCTGTAATGTTTGACAAGATGGCTTCCAATCTTAAGAGAGAATTAGGCTGGGTTTATCTCATGGACCCAATATAATCACATAATAGCACACATAGCACTTCCCAGCACATCCCCCAGCAAATTCAGTCCATTTTATAACTGAAAGTTTTCATAAAATCAGGGAAGAGGACTTGAATGGTAAACCCTGTATCACCCTCTATGCTCCTTTTATGACAACAAGGTAAAATAAGTTTAATATTTTTGAGTGTAGAAAACCAGAACACTTATCAGCAGGAAGTTCAATGGCATTAATATATATTTTTTTTATTTTTGGAAAAGTGTGTGTGTGTTTGTGTGTGTGTGTGTTTGTGTGTGTGTGTGTGTGTGTGTGTTTTCCATTTGGTACTGGGAATTGAACTCAGAGGTGCTTTACTACTATGCTGCATACCTAGTCTCATATATATATATATATATATATATATACACACACACATACACATACACATACATATATATACACACACACACACACACATACATGCATATACACACACATACACTTTGGGACAAGACTTCACTAAGGTGCCAAGAATGTCTTCAAACTTGAAACTCTCCTATGTCATCCTCCTGAGTCTCTGAGATTATAAGCATGCACCACTTTTCCTGCT